GTAACGAGATAATAGACATAAATTTCTTGAATATTCGGCAGCACATTTACCATTTACATCATAAAAAAGACCATATTCCAGTTGCGGTTTTGACCACCGCAACAGTCACTTAACAGTATTAATTTTGTAGCAGACATGGGGATATTGTTTTTAAAATTCTGATACAAACAACTAGTTACTTCCTGGGACCCTCTAGCTCCCTTAGTTTCATACCACAAATACATAGACACTTTTTCTCCATCATGTTGATAGGAATGTATTCCAGTTCAGAACGTGTATTTGCCTTAAATAGTACACCTTCCCTTAACTTTTATCTTAACCTTGGTCAAAACTTTCACATTTGCTTTAACTAAAGTGGTAATACTTATTTTAGGATATCACTGATGATGGAATAATTATTCCGAAAACGTTCTGTGGTGGCATAGGATTTTTATATAAATATAGCTTTTATAAAGGAATTTTTTAAATAAAAAATTTTTGTTATACATGGTATACAGCTAACGACAGCCATATGAGCTCTAATACATTATGTTTCTATGAGTGGTAGTTCTAAATTCACTACTTATTTAAAAAACAGGATGTGACACTCTGGGGGTGACCGAGGAGGGAAAGCACAACTTTTTTATCGTCTAAGCAACGATGGATGGTTTTATTTTACTTTAATTTATTTTATTTTATTCTATTATTCTACTATATTTTGTTTTATTTCAATTCGATTCGAATTTAATTAGATTCGATATTTAATTCGATTCGATAATCAATTCGATATTTTATTAGATTTGATTCGATTCGATAACCGATTCGATTCGATAACTAATTCGATTCGATAATCAATTCTATTCGATAATCGATTCGATATTTGATTTTATATTATTTTAGTGTATTTTATTATATTTTATTTTATTCTATTCTATTCATAAACACGCATGGGACTGCGTTTAACTCCACGTTTTGTGTAGTCGCGGCATACATCGTTACAGTCCCTACTGTCATTACATTTATTTTTTCACACCTCTCTACGATCCACCTCTCCGTCCGTAGCCCGCGATAAGAAAGCTGTGCTTCCAATAATAGTTTAATATTCCTTACAGACTGAAATAATTGCCTGGATAGTTTTTCAAAAGAAAAAGTGGGAGTTCCAATATTTACAAAAACATTCTGGATCTAAAAATAAAAAAATGAAGACTAATCAAAAGTTAGCAGTATTACGATCCTCGGCATCAGGTACCCTGGGAAATTTTCTTCAAAGAGCACAGGTGGTAGTCGTATCAACCCCATGGCAAGTAATTCAAATTGCAGAAACTACAATGTCTGGCCAATTTAGATTATGGGCGTTGGTAAGTTTTTACTTAAATTTCAAATATCCTTTTATTTATAATTTAATTTGAGTATATACATATTCAAAATAAATATGTTGTTATGAAAGTTCCGTAAGGTTTATCCCACATAGAAAAAGTCCCTAGACGAAAAAGAAGAAGTAGTTCGAGAACATTCAAGAATACTTAGACAAGTAAAGAGAGAGGACGGGTAACGCTCGTTCAACCAACCTTCAAAAAGTGAAGCCACTTTTCGATGTGTCCGTCATGTTTTTGGTGGCAAACAATAGATGTGACACCAGTTTTGTTTTTGTGGTTTTTTTTTTTTTAAGTTTGAACACCGATTTTTTTTTACTTAACAAAATGGTGAATTGTGCTTATATTCTTTGTAAAAATCGCAGCGAGCAGAAAACACCAGGAATATAATTCATAGGTAAATATTTATAATAGTGCAATTAGGTATTCATTGATTTTACTTTTTTTTATTTCAACTTTTAACCTCACAACCAATTTAAATTAGTATTTTAAGGAAAGGTGAGATCTAAATTACTAAATAAGAATGCTAAATATGCATAGTTATTTCAGTAATTGTATTATAATTAATAATTTCACTCACACACCATGATTTGCCTGTGGCGGTGTGCGATGAGGGTTAAATTTCCATAAAATATTCCATAAATAAGTAAATAAATAAATAAACTTCGTTAATTTTGATTCCAAAATATTTGTATAAAATAAAGTAAATTAAATAAAACATTTAATGTACAAAAATGTTTCATTTTAAATACGTATTAGTCAATCCTTAAAAATACACTGACCACTTTCTCTGGTGGCAGTTTGGCTTCACTTTTAGCGATACGGTTACGCGTTGAAAATTATTTTACGAAAATATATCATATGTCGAAGATTGGAATAGCGCATCATAGCACCAATCTTCAAAAAAAAAATAACACAGATCTTCAAAATTATCGTCCAAAAACTTTGCCGTCCCAGTTCTGTTAATGGTTTACTAGGATTATATGCAACAGAATTATAACCAAACTCGACAATTGCCCAACAGTGGAAGAGGCCTTTAAAAAAAATAGTACATACAACACCAAGAAAAACTAGACATCAAAGAATTATGTTTAAAGTAACTTTTCCAGATAAAAGGCAGAATACCATTGAAGACACTGAATGCCAAACAGGACCCCCGATTACCATTGAAGAAGTCACGTCAGCTATTAAAAGAACTAAAGATGGTAAAGCGGTAAGGCCTGACGAGTTTTGTGCAGAATTCCTAAAACTTATGGATGAACTGGGAATAAAATGGATAACAACTGTATTCAACAACATATACGTAACTGGAAAAATACCCCAAAGCTGGTTAAAATCGACCTTCGTGACCATACCAAAAAAGTAAATGCCAAGACATGCGAAGACTAACGAACAATTAGCCTAATGAGCCACTTACTTAAAACGTTCTTGAAAGTGATACACGGCAGAATATATAAAAAATGCGAAGAACGAGTATCATGGAGGCAGTTTGGATTCCGCGATTCCTTAGGCACCCGAGAAGCTCTATTCGCTGCCCAAATGCTTATACTTCTTTTATCGACTACAAAAAGGCATTTGATAGTTTAGAGCATGATAAACTTATAAACATCTTGAAAGAAGTGGGGTTATTAGATGATAGGGACTTGAGAATCATCTACAATTTATATTACAACCAAACAGCCAATATTAAAGTGGATGACCGTCAGAGGCAGTGTTTATAGATAGAGGAGTCAGGCAAGGATGCATTCTGTTCCCGGTGTTATTTAATATATACTCTGAATAGATCTTCGAGCAAGCGCTAGAACTACAAGAAGGCGTATTAGTCAACGGAATGCGTCTAAACAACGTTACATATGCCGACGACGCAGTAGTTTTTGCAGATTGTCTGGATGGTTTGCAAAGAATAATGTCGCGTATATCAGATATAAGTAGAGAACACGGACTTGATCTTAATACGAAGAAAACAAAGTACATGGTAGTCAGTAAGCGCGAAATATTAAATGCACAGCTTTTGGTTAACCAACATCCAATTGACAGAGTGGACAGCTACACATACCTTGGTACCAACATTAACAGCCAATGGGATCACTCCAGTGAAATAAAACAACGCATAGGAAAAGCGAGATCAGCGTTCATAATGATGAAGTCTCTTTTTAGAAGTCACGATTTACCAGTGTTACCAAAATCTCTCTCATTAGATGCTATGTATTTTCTACGTTATTATACGGAGTAGAGGCCTGGACACTTTTCGAAGCTTCTTTAAGAAAACTCGAGGCATTCGAGATGTGGTGTTACATACGTATTTTAAGAATTTCATGGGTGGATCGTGTGACTAATGTTGAGGTCCTACGTAGAATAGACAAGGAATGCGAGATTATTAACTCCATCAAAAAACACAAACTAGAATATATTGGCCATGTTATGAGGAATGAACAGAGATACGGCTTGTTGCAACTCATTCTTCGGGGCAAGGTATTTGGAAAGAGAGGACCAGGGAGAAGAAGAATATCAGAATAATATCTCAGGAAAAACCTGAGAAAGTGGTTTAATACATCGACATCCGGACTATTCAGAATAGCAGCAAGCAAAGTTAGGATAGCCATGTTGATCGCCAACATCCGGAACGGATAGGCACCGTAAGAAGAAGAAGAATGTTAATCTGTTAAAAAGGAAGACTAACAAAAATTGAACCAGAAATGAGAAAGCTGATTATATCGTTCGTATAGTTTTCTTTCAGAATTTTAAGACGTAGTCCTTTTTCTTTTGTAAGTGTTATTATTACATATGGTAGTAGTGGTTTTATTATATCCTTAATAGCTTCAGTTTAGTATTTTTGCTAACATTTTTATCTTCTAATATGTTTTAATTACAAAAAAATACATTATATCGTTTCTGATTTGTTTCCCTTGATATTTCCTACTTAGTAATACGTCTAGTATCAGTGTAGCAATTATCTGATATAATTCTTTTCATCCCCTCTTTCGTAATTAGGCATTCATTTCACACCCTGGCGCTTTTTATATATAGCTTTTTAAGGGTTCTTTTTATATCGCCTTGTGGCTGCTCCATTACTTCTGTGTTGTCATGTTCATCTTCTTCATCATCATACTTTCTTCATCATACTTTCCTGTTTGTTCTGAGTTTAAAAGTTAAAAACATCGCCCTGTGTTTTTTCTTTTTTATATAACTCCATAAAATATTTTCCACTTATTGATTTGATTTTTCCTTATTTATACAGGGTATAACAAAAAGGTAGGTCATAAATTAAATCACGTATTTTGGGACCAATAATAGTTCGATTGAGCCTAATTTACTTGTTAGGTACAACTTGTTGGTAATAATGGTCGACCAAAAGTAAATACGAACTATGAAGAAATTTTGGAAGCAATTTAAGAAATTCCTGGAAGCAGTACAAGAATAGCAGCGGCTCAATTAGATGTTTCTCACATAATGATTTGGAGAAGATTCAAGGAACAGCAGTTTTATCCTTATCACTTAACATCCATTCAAGAATTACTGGATGAAGATTATCCTAAAAGAATGGGGTTTTGCGATTGGTTTTTAGCGGAAAATACACAAAATGTCACATCATCACCAAAGAAATTTTAAAGTCAATGTTTAAGCAGGAATTGTGGATAATAACCTAATATGGCCTTTAGGGTATTTCTTCCAAACAATTTAAACGGTGAAAATTATTTATACTTTCTACAATACATGTTACCAGAGTACTTAGACGAGGCCAATCTTGCTGTCAGGAAAAATATGTTGTTTGTACACGACGGCGCCTCAGCGCATTACCATAATGAAAGAAGAGAATATCTTTTCGATCAGTATCCTGGACGTTGGAGTGGAGGGAGCCATGATGTGCTCTCGGCCACCCAGAGGTGCAGATCTTAATTCAATTGACTTTTACTTCTGGTTTTATGAAGGGGTACGTATATGTACCAATTATGAATGAACAGCAACTAAGGAATAGAGTCATGGAAGCTGCAAATAGATTTCGTCAGAAGCCCATGATTTTTCAAAATATTCGATTTTCCTTTTTAAAACGATGTCGAATGTGTATTCAAGAAAATGAGGGTAATTTTGAACATCATTTGTAAACTCCACCACTTATTTGTAAATGGTTAAGTAAGATTATAGAGGCCTAGTAATAATATGAAAATTTATATATATATATATATATATATATATATATATATATATATATATATATATTGTTGTGCTCTATTTTTGACTCTATTTTTACTTGTGAAAATAATTTAATTAATTTACTAACTGTTTAATTAATCAAAATCCAAACAAAATATTATAATTTATAAATTATATATCTCAGGGCTAATTAATAATTTTAGTACTTACTTTGTTTCGTAGGTTCAAAAAGGATTTCTTCGTGGCTTCCTTATAAAAGGTGGTAAAAACGACATAAATAATACAGTAATTTCAAAGTTGAAATAACAAAATTCGTTTATTTTATCAATTTGCATTAAATGTTCAATCATGTAAGTTTTATCAATGGCTCCTTTACCTTTTATTGTATGTAACCAATATTAAAACTATGAATCTTGTTTTCTTTTGTGACCCAAATTATTTGATATGAAATATTTTGATTTATCAATATTACGGATAAAAGAAATTATAATGATGTCTAAATGAGAACTTTTTCGTAGATAAATTTTTTTTTT